TGGTTATAACGATTTCTACGGGACCAGAGAGAAAATATTCTTTATGACCAGAAATTTCTTATAACGAAGGTCACTTTTTATAGCTAAGATTATAACTGGCTTGGAGAAAATCTTCATCAAATCAATGTTACACTAATTTTTTATCTCACGCCACAATGTACTAGTGTGACTGATGACATTACTATTACGCCACAATTGAGAGGATTATTATCGAATATACTATTTGCCGGCAAATTTTGATCACTATCCAAGGAATTCTTCACGCCACATAGATCATCGTTGCCTTATCATTGTGGCAGAACATTCAATGTCGTCATAGAATTTTATCACACCATATCACATCACGCCACACGGATAAATATTTGATATATTACTCGTCGCACTTGGGTGAACAGAATTTTGATTCTGCTTCCTTTATATATTTTTTACCATATATGTAATCGCAGTCTTTCCAAACTGAACACTTCTCGTGCTTCCCTTGTTAGTCGTCAAGAGTTTACGCCTAAGGCAACTTGCTTATCAATCGGCAGAAGAGCTTACATCAAAGTATCAATTAGAGTATAATAATGATAACTGAATACTTCCCATGCCCAGCTTATTAGTCGACAAGAGATTACGCCTAATACTAAGGCAACTTGCTTATTAGTCACTTGGGTTTATCTTTACATCAAAGTATCGGTATCGGAAATAAAGAACAAAGACAATGATAACAATAATACGATCGATAATAATTTCAATAATTCCAATAATAAATAACGAACATAATATTTTATTACAAGAGATGAAGCCACCCTAGGGAAGTAGTTCCGCTTTCAGTTTTACCCTTCAGCAGTAACAAACTTAACTTTTTCTGCCTGGAGGCAGAGTTGTTTATATAATGAAATTCATATCACTATTCGAACTCGTCACTCCTGTATTCCATTTTCCTCTCAGACGTCTATTCGCGAATTATCACTATTTATGATCAAGTGACTAAGTTGGTGTTCGCGAATTTAAGTTATACAATGAGTCATAAAATACATGTGTTTCACTAACTTGTTACCCGATCCAAATACTCGGGGTGGAAGTTTGACCAATTAAGTAATTCCGTAACAAACAGCAAAATTGGCTGTTCACACAAGTGACAGTCATAAATTCTAAAAATCATTTTCTGCAGAAATAATCACAGTCTTTCTTCAAGAACTTGGATGAAACTGTGTAGACATGTTTATTAAATTCTTAGTAAAACTATACATGCATAAAAATATCCCCTCAATTCTGCCATGCAGCTAAGGTAGAGGGGGTAATGTGGCGAATAGGGGTAATTTGGCGAATTACAGAATTATTATAATGGAATCGAATTAGGATCAAAACCAAGAAGATTTATAGTCATCACAATCATACTTTATTAAAGTGAGGGCATTTTTTAATTATGTTACATGATGATTGCATGTACATTACGTGCATTATGTGTTTTTATTCGTTTAATCTATGACATTTTTATTATATCTACATACATTGTACAAACGCTAGCTCGATTGGTATGTCCTCCGCGCGACAAAATAGACGCGAAATAAATTTACCATGGTGCTGCATTGCTTGTCGCGCATCTGTTTTATTTTGTGATTTTACATTAAAACATAATAACTTGTCACTATCATGGAAGCTGCTTATATTAAGCGACATGAGATTATCCGTGCTGCACTTGAAAAATTGGAAAATTATCCTGCTGGCACCAAACGCCCAAGTTTAAATAGCATAGCGCAAGATTTTGGGCTTGCAGAATCTACTCTCCGACGTGTTTTTAAAGTGGTGGCCATCTAAATCGTCCAAGTGCAACAAACGTTCTTAGCAAACATGAAGAAAGAGAACGAAAAAGCGGAGCAGAAAAGTGAAGAAATAAAACAAAAAAGAAGCAGCAGCTCAAAGAAAGTTATACGAGAACAAAGATTAGCAGAAAGGAATAAAAATCAGGGCGGTCGGAATAAAGGATGCTAAAATAATATGTAAAAAAAATTTTTTTGGTAATAGATCAGAATTCTAAAATCTCGATTTTAAAGACCATTTACGAAACGGTAATTTTTTCACCAATTCTATTTTACAATCCCTTTTCTATTTGTATGCATCTACTATAAATACGTTGTAGTTTATTACCTCTGAATATCAAAAGTTATAACGGTTCAATAAAATTTTCACTTAGTAAGGACTTTAACTTCGCCATTCTTTAAATTTATTGCCCAGAAAAAGCCATTTAAGACTTTATCGCGGTTGCTTAGCCTAGCCTTGCATGGCAATCTGATAGTTAAACTATCCCGTATATCCAATTGCTTCTTTCTCTCAAACCATAGTCACGTTTTAACTTTTCCTGCTCAATTTTGTAAAAATGCCCAAGCTCGTGACCTAACAAATTTGAAACGATGAGCTCACGAAACCACACTCCGTTTGACTGAATTTAAAGACAATTCAATCCTAACAATCGTTACGGGTATCAATATTGTCAGGTACACTCATTATCACTAATTGTCATTGTAATTAGACGAACTATTGACGCGAATAACCAATGTCTTTCAGAAATGCTGAGCGTTACTTTTTCTTGACAGTAAGCGAAAAATAACAAACGCGCACTTCATAACCATACTTTTGAGATTATTCGGCTATATTAATACACTGTGACATCTCCATGCAACCCATAAATGCCCACTATTTCTTTAATTAATATTAAGTGCAACTCACGTGAGTATCGTAGTCGCGGAAATAATCAACACAATGTGCCGGTGATACAAAACCTGTAATCAATTAGAAAGAGGGCATTATTATTTACTATTATTTCAGTGCTTAATGTAGATATGTTGAAAATATTAGCCAAAACGTAAAGACATCTTTCTAATTCAACAAGAGCTAGTTAAAAGCTGTTAGTAGTTTGGAAATTCGCGAAAAAGGGTAAATTCGATGAAACAGTTAACAATTAAGGATATTTATAGTCAAACTTTTCCCGTAGAGTTATGATTAATAAAGGAAAATCTGTAACGGTAAATTAAAATGTTTTTCTTAATAGGGAAACCCTACATACCGTAAACTCTCATGAATAAGAGCCCACTATATGCACCTCGTGATTATGTAATAGTAATAAACGAAAATAACGCGGGCAACTGTTACGTGACGATGGGTGGCTTAAAAACAATGCAAAATGATCTACAACCAACCCATGAATAAGAGCCCCCTTATATGATGAAGGGGGGCCCTTATTCATGAGACTTTACGGTAAATGCAAAACCCCCATAAACGTTGACTTGGTCCGCTTGGTATTGTTAGAAGAATTGGTCTTAAATTTATGAAATGCAGCCTGAAATTCAGCATCAATATCAAAGGCAATGCAATGGTCAAATGCCGTCTGCCCGTACCCCCACAATCAAAAAGTCAGGCTTAGCTCAATGCGATATTGGCAACCTCTTTACAACGTAAGAAATTCTTGCCCAACTTAATTCGAATAATCTACAGGTTGTTTACCCTCCACTGACTGCTTTAATCAATCCGATTGCAAGTCTCTGTATAGTTTCATGTCTATTAGTTAATTATTGTATACTTATTTTCATGCCTCAAGTTATCAAAGCATTTTATAATAAAATCCTTGTCAATTACCAAGAGTCTTTAACGGAATCTCGTTTCTAATTCTGATGATGCGTATCATTGTATTACACAATTAGTTGATTATAGTTGCCATACTTCCCGATAACTGGTCTGATACATATATTTTGGGGGGGGGGGGGACTCAATCGACAAAATCTGCCGTTCAATTAATTAAGCTTTTCTTCGTTGAGTGTATTTTGCCATTAGAGCAAGACTAACATCGGATCCTTTCCATTAATAAACCAGAATTATTCCAATTGCCTTGTTTGCTTATTAACCACACTTAACCATTGCAGATTGTGGAAAAAAACCAGTTTCTTTACATTGTGTTGTATTGCATGCCATGCCGCACTTTTGAGGAATTTATACAGCACACAAGTAATCCTAATTTTGTGTGATTAAGAAAATTGTTCCAAACAAGTTTTCGCCCCAACCTGAATGTACTCCGAGCAGCTTATAACTAACAATTCATTGAATTTATTGTAAAATACTAACAATTATTTGACCCGTTCTGAGAATATGTGATATTAATGTGTGAGCGAACAAATTCATTTTTTACAACTATTATATACACTTTTACAAGGATATCTTTTATTTGAAGTCGCTTTTGGTTCAGATTCGCTACGGGCAATCATGGGATTAAAACCAATAAGGATTACTTTAAATGGGAGAAACCTTCTTAGTCTTTAACGATCGAACAAAATATATTACAAGCGTAACATTGTCGAGATTGATATGCTAGTGGAGAATTACTTATATGATCGAGTATGTTGAGTTATACGATCAACGTCTATCGGAAGGGGACACATCACGCAAGTAATTTATGGTATTAGTTTGTCATTTTATCTTCCTGCCTTGCTGACGTGATAATTTACATCGCAATGATCAGAAGAACCAAATATCTAGAAATAAGATGTCATGCAAATGCTTATCATATACTTTTGGGTGTGTTAATAAAGTTCTAATAAGACTAGAAATTAAGTGTAATAAGAAAAATAGTAGGAAAACCGTCCGCCCAACGTTGATGTTATTCTTGCAACTGATTATTCAGGTGCATGAGAGAATAGGAAGGAGACTGATTCGCCATTGTGAGTTCGCCGTATAGCTATTATTACCGATCAGCGGCACAGAAAAACGATTAGGAAGTCAAACGAGAATCAATGCTATCACTGATCAGTTCTCAATCTTACCTTCTGCCAAAGTAGGTGAAATATCTATAGTATCAATTTTCTTGCAGATAGCCTTTTTATCCTCGTGTGGTATTGTATTTGTCACCACCAGTTTTTCCAATACCGAATTATTAATAACATCTATAGCCTTCCCTGATAAAATACCGTGTGCAACTATAGCATATACTTTAGTGGCACCATTCTCCTTCAATGTTTTCGCTGCCATAGATAGCGTTCCACACGTATCAGCCATGTCATCAACGACAATAGCAACTTTTCCTCGAACATCGCCTACAAGAACCATACGGGAGACTTCGTTGGCGCGTTTGCGTTCTTTGTGAATAAGAGCGAAGTCGAGGTTAAGTCTGTCGGCGATTGAGGTTGCTCTAACGTAAGTGAAGAATATAGATAGAATGAGTTAAAGAAGAATGAATGCAAGAATATCGTTATGGGATATACACGGAATTAACAGCAAAAAACAACATCATAAACCAACCTCTTAGCTCCACCGGCGTCAGGTGACACAATAATTGCATTGGTCCAATTCGGTATCTTCGTCCTAATATATTTCAACATCGATGGCTCGCAGTACAAATTGTCTACCGGAACGTTAAAAAATCCCTGAATCTGACTTGCATGTAAATCAACTGTGATCACATGGTTAGCTCCAGCTACTATCAACATATTAGCTACCAATTTCGCCGTAATTGGTGCCCGTGATTTATCCTTTTTATCCTGCCGAGCGTACGGAAAACATGGAATCACTGCTGTTATTCTTCTTGCCGAAGCTGTTTTGCATGCGTTAATCATGATGAGGAGTTCCATAAGATTGTCATTGATTTCGCCACAGCCAGATTGAATGATGAAGACATCTTCGTCACGTACAGACTCCCCAATTGTCACTGAAGTTTCTTGGTTGGTGTATTTTAGCACAATAACTTTTGCTAAATCGATTCCGATCCGACTGAATTGGGGTGTAGGAGGGAAGTGATTTTACCGAAAGAGAGGAAAAGTAGTGTTGATGGGATGATGGAAGTAGAATGAAGAGTGAGAACAAAAATGACAAAATTGAAGTGATATATGTGCGTTTCCTTTCTTCGTAGTTATGGGTTGCATATGAAACTAGTGTTAAAAGAAATAAATTATGATATAAATAGACTAAGTAGATACACGAAAATTGTTCGAAACGCAATTACTGTAATTAAACATAGTTGTTAAAATACCACTGCCCTCAGTGTCTCTTCGGTTTTCATGTTTGCCTCCTATCGCCCACTGGACACCTTTAAAACTAGTCGACATACTCTCACAACTATTGTGGCCTCTTTATACTAAGCATCGTATCTTACCGAACACATACCGGGCTACCATCTTGGCTAACTCAATATGCGAGTTACCTGCAAATATCTTTATTGAATTCATATTCACCAGGTGAATAAGATTCACGACCAGTTACTTAGTGTGTCGAAGGAGAAATAAGAGAACAGTGAAATAATAGAAAAAAGAGAATGAAAGCCGTGGTGTTTATTTGTCCATTCGTCTAATTTAAAAAAAAAAAATTTTTTTCCTTTTGTTCAATCAAAAAAAAAGTTTCTGATGAAACTTCGATAACTTTATACTAATTTACTATTGCGAGAATTTGTATCCGTTGCACGTGGTTATACGATTGCATGATAATCATTGCTTGCTCTCTCTCTGACATCTTGTACTACTAGTCCAATCGATTTTATTTATTATACTTTCTCCTACAGAAACCGGTCATCAACGATAACAAATATTTCGAGCGCGGTAGGTCCCAGCGCCAAGTCACTCTGACTGAGATGTTTCAGCAGGATCTGCCGCAGTAGCCATCGTCACAGAGCATCAACAATCTTCCCTAATCTTAGCGTCAAATGTTGTCGGAATGGTTAAATACAGTCCCGGAAAAAGGCGGTGCGTGCCTTCAACTAAGCTGGCAAGTTGTCTTCATAGAATATTTGGTGGAATATCAAGCAATACATACTTTCCGTTCAGAAATATTTTAACCAAAAACGTACATGGGAATCTTCGCGATGAAATATTATTATCAATTGCAAAACCTCGGAGTTGTGTGCGACTTTATCCCGCCACACGCCACAGCGCCACGGCCGTATAATAACTATAGACAAGTGAATAGCCATCTTTATATATAGTACATCACTTAACTTGTTTGAAAATGTTGTCGAGCCAATATTCCTGGGAGAGCGGCGGAATACTGACTTTGAGATTTAACTCTTTTTCAGGCGAAACCTTTCGATAATTCCTACTGAATTAAATCTAATTTCAACAGTTAGTGACGCTTAAACTGCGATTTATACTCACAACCTAATTATCGTTCTTGTATACGTTCTCCTGAATTATTATTTATCCTCGAGATTCACGTCGATTTATATTAGCGGGATTAAACTAATATTCTATCGTGTTGGGAACCTAAACTACTAAACTTGCGCAAAAGATAAATAATAATTCTGATCCGAAAGACCGCTTCGAGGTTAAGGGCGAGTATAACCTGAAGGAACGCCGATCGGAGAATACATTTTGTATCTCAAATAGTTCTGAGACTACACCGGCGTTGGATCTAATATCAGAATTATTTAACACGAAAGAATAAATATGTTTGTTTTAATCACGGTTTATTAGAATATAAAGAATTATTCTATTGCAAGGATTATGAAGTTTTCCAGCTGAAGAGTGATCTCAAGATCTGAAGATGTCGTTTTGCTATCGCCTACGCGGTCCTTTTATAACTGAAATGTCAGAATTTTACCCGCATTAGGCAATATTAAGTACTGTCAGAAATTTTGGCCACATTAGTAACCATGCGACACTAATTTTCGATTGGTCTATTCTATCGTTATTAGAACTCCAAATATATCGATTTCTTCACATTTCTCTGCCTATTAATAATTACGTCCCATTTCTTTGTCATCGGCGTATTCCGCAGCTACTACGTTCGTTACACCGGAATTTGGAATGCCGCAACCTTCGTAGATCGTTTGTACCACAGAGCGGAAGCGCTGCTCCTCTACCTGAAAACGAAAAATAATGACTTTAAACGCTCACAAATACTTTTCAGAGGGAGAATTCCTAATCTAAAAACGTCAAAAGTTCTCACTGAGCAAGCGTGTTGCTGAGGTTCTGAGGTTTCAGAAAGTACAGTTGGGCGGATTATTCATAAACGGAATGAGTGTCATTGGCAGAACAAAAAAAATATAGGACGGCGAGCCCTGATATTATTACTTTTACGTGAATATAAAGCAGAACTTCTCGAGCTTGTCCGACAAAACAAAGAGAAAGTTCCGTTTGAATTAAATCTCCTTTAAACATTTTAATAAATCTTCCGCTTGTGTAGAAATAGCTAAACAACATGGTTACCGACTTTTTTTACAACACCTTATCATTGTGAACTTCAACCAATTGATGGTGTTGGGCAGTTGTTAAGGGTAAAGTCCCGCATAAAATCTTCTTGAAAAATAAACTTTTCTGGGCTTTCAAAGAAAAGGTAAATGTTGGATTATGGAAAAGAGCACATAACAATGCAAAAGAATATAGAAGAAACGATGATGTGTATATTTATCTAAATCCTTTTCCGAAGATAATATGGAATCCAATGAGTAAATCTTTAATAAAACTTTATCAAAATGCTTTTGATAACCTAAAGAAACTATTTAAAATTTTATTCGCAATCTCGGAGATATCTATCTTTTGCACCGGATCATATATATATTTATATATTTTAAACGTTGCCATACTTTCTGGTAGAGCAGAATTATCTCAGGACAAAAACTGAAATTTCCGTCCTGTCTTTTAAGTCTGGTCTTCATCAATGGCAACATTTTATTTTTATCATATCGAAAACCATTTGTTATGACTTATAAATCAAACATTATATACATCTTCAACAACACTTTTAAGTTCGTCCATGCATTCTTTACTAATATTTGAAAAGTACCCTAGATTTAAAACTTTCAATGTCCTTTTCCTTACAGCATATCTAATTAAAACTTTAATGTGTTCATCTCTTAATAGTGCCGAATATCTAAAACATAAAGTTCTTAAATTAACATTATTGTATGATAGAAACCTCTCTAATGCATCTGCCGAGAATGTCCACTGTTCATAAATAGTTAGTGATGTAAGTGTTGGAGGCATAAGTCTTCCATATTCTGGAAGAAATTCATCGATTATTGTTTCGGATCGATTACTATTACGTATTACAACCTGGTCAAGAATATGGCAGTGATTCAATAATGTAATCAAATCATTATTGTTCAAGTTTGCTTCACAGATACTAATGTTGGGGCAGCTTACAACAATTCTCCCAATAAAGTCGACAGGCAGCACATTGGGACCAACTACTTGCCATGAAAGTCGTAGTAATCTTATTGTAAGGCCAGAGTTCTCAAACAGTAATGGCAAGTTCAATGGAGGTCGATAATTTAGGTGAAACTTTATGTCTCTTAACTTCGGTAATGTCGTGTTTGCCAAAGGCTCGATCACTCGTTCAGTCACGTTCTCGCAAAAACAAAAAAAAAGGCGTTCCAAATTCTTGCATTTAACCAAACATTCCAATACAATCCTCTCACCAAAGTCAATCCCCTGAAATATAACCTGAGTCAACGAATTTGCCTGAGTGCCTAATGATGGTAGAAAGCCTAATTTCGGCGGATCACTGACTGACAGTTCGAATAGCTCTAATCCGTTTTGATTCTCAATCAGTTCAGCAAAGCCCTTCGCTGCGACTGTTTTATAATCATCCTGATAATGATTAATACTCATCCGTTTGATGTTTTTAGCTACTTTCGCCAAATTCTCAAACAAAGATTTCTTCGCGAAATAACCACAGCAAATAAATTCCTGAAGATAACTTAGTGCAGCCGGTGGATACGGTTTAACTTGAATGCATAGATAGGATCCAATATCGCTGACGCATAAGTCCGGAACATCGATTGAAAGACAAATTATTTTCGAACTACGAGTAACTAAGAGTTTGAACAATTCACCGACTATGTTAAATATGACTTCTTGCTCGACGTCTCCCAATGTGTCACTTGACCATTGCTGAACCGCCTTATGAAGCATACCGACATGTAGATATCTCAGGTACACTGTATAATCATACGTCAATTTCTTCTCCTCAAATGTATCGAACATTTTCCTTACTCTTAATTTTGCACCAGTATCAAGACAATTAATGTATGTATATATTAATGACGACGATGACCTAGGCAGTGGATCGAATGGATTCCTCCAAAGTATAGAAACTGCGATTGAGCACCACGTTCGATCGATTAATAAACAGTCATGAAGAAGGTATGTACATTCCAGATTTTCCAGGATTCGTTCAATTATTTCAGGTAGCAGATGCATTTTGTATTTGGGCAATCTGAATGTAAATTGTCACATTTCAATCAACTAGCTGTTACACAAGTTAGGTCGTTCTACGGATAATAAAATAAATCTATTACAATTCTTATTCCTTTTTTGCAAAAAATGAGTTCCATAGAAATAGAATCATCAGAGTAAGTTTACTGTATGTCGGCCATTACATAAGATGATTAATTGGACTAATGCCATATAATTATTAGTGTAATCCGACTTATTCTTCAGTTCTTGAAGGAGAATAATCTTCAAAATACGTATGCGGCATTGCAGGTACTTTGTCGAGAGCCTGCTACCTCGCATAATGTGCGTATTCTGGTTCTTCCTATCTGACACACATCTTCGTTAAGGAGGAATCAACCATAGCGCTCAACACAGTTGATTCGGTTGAATCCTTCATGGAAGAACTCATTCAAGGTCGTTGGGACGTTGTTCTTCGCACAGTTTCTAATCTGAAGATTCCGCAACGTAAACTCGTAGATCTTTACGAACAGGTTCATATGCTTTCGAATTTTGTTGCATGAGCCTTACCGTCAGGTACAACTAAGTCTTTCATCAGATTGTATTGGAATTAATAGAAATGAGAGAACTTGGAGCAGCAAGAACTTTGTTGAGACAGACAGATCCAATGCAATTTTTAAGAGATCATTACTCGGAGAGATATTTGCATCTGGAGCATTTACTATCGAGAACTTGGTTTGATCCGAAAGAGGTTGTTAATAATGGATTTTGATGATTAAATATGTTGTTGTAAACATGTATCATTTAATGATTACGAAGTACAAACGTTCAGGCATATCCACCCGGTATGACAAAGGAAAAACGTCGCCAAATAATAGCGCAAGGTAAGAATTTAGTCAACTGCAAATAAAAGAAAACCTCTGCCGATTTGGGTTGCAATTATTTTAACTTGCAATGTATATTTAGCTCTTTCGACCGAAGTAACAGTAGTAGCACCATCAAGGCTTCTCGCACTGCTTGGACAAGCTTTAAAATGGCAACAGCATCAAGGCCTTCTGCCGCCAGACTCCGCATTTGATTTATTTCGTGGGTCGGCACCGACGTCCAAGGCTGAAGACGACACTGAGCCGACGAGATGTTATACTACAATAAAGGTAGTCGAAGTTGATAAATTGTGGCAATTTAGTTATTCATACTGTTATTTATTTGAAAGCCATTCGCATTCTGTAGTTTCCCAAAAAACAACACGCAGAATCCGTGGCATTCTCCCCTGATGGACAATATTTTGTGACTGGCAGCGTTGATGGGTTCATTGAAATTTGGAATTATATGACGGGAAAATTAAGAAAAGACTTTAAGTATCAAGCCGAGGTACCTTAACATTTTTATATACCATAATTTTTTTTAAAAATTATCTACTCATACTGGTATTATATTAATAGGACAATCCAATGTTAATGGAGCACCCTGTTCTGTGCTTAGATTTTAGCCGAGACAGTGAGATGTTAGTCACGGGCGCGCAAGATGGAACGATTAAAGTAAATTATTACATAATTCGATTTTTGGTGACTTCGACATGCGTATCATTTAGCGTTAAAATGACATCATCAAGGTCTGGAAGGTTGCAACGGGTCAATGCACCCGCCGCTTTTCTCCGGCTCACAGTCAAGGCGTTACGGCAGTGTGTTTCAATCGTGATGGTAGTCAAGTGTTGAGTTCCAGCTTCGATCACACTGTAAGGTGAGTCAACATATATTCATAGGAAGGCAATATCTACCCTTGTGCACATTGTTTAAATTTTATTTTATCAGGATACACGGTTTGAAATCAGGTAAAACGCTTAAAGAATTTCGCGGACATTCGTCGTTTGTTAACGATGCTATCTTCTCTTATGATATGTCCCGAGTTATTAGCGCAAGCAGTGATGGAACTGTAAAGGTGTGTCATTAATACTCTATACAAAGACGTATATGAACTCATCTGATTTCTAACACATGGAGAGTGTCGCAGATATGGGATGCAAAATCAACAGAATGTCTCCACACAATATGTCCACAGGTTGGACAGGCATCAGCAACAATATCTGGTGGTAGCACAATTAACTGCGTCATTCAAATGCCTAAGAACATGGATCAAGTCATCGTGTGTAGTAAGAGTCCTACGTTGTATCTTATGACTGTCAGAGGACAGGTAGGACTATTTATAGTTATTTTAACTAATTTTTATGGAAATTAAATTTATAGTATTTAACAACGTCTATTATAGATTATTAAAACATTTACATCAGACAAAAAGCCTAGCGCCGACTTCGTCGCTTGTACTGTATCTCCGCAGGGTGACTTCATTTATTGTATTACTGAAGATTCTAATTTATGCTGCATCAATGTTCAGACTGGAAAGATGGCTACAACATTAAAGGTAAGAGTATATCGTAAAAATTTCTGACCTTTACATGAATTTGGCTCTCATTAGTATTGGCGTTTAGCTAAGTGAAGCAGAAGTTATTGGATTGGCACATCATCCATTCAGTAATATTCTTGCATCTTATGCTGATGATGGCATAATTTCGTTCTGGAAACCATAAAATAAATGACTAGAGAATGATTTAGACAACCTCAAGGATCCCCAATGATGGAAGATATAATTGAAATCAACCAAACGATCTATGAAAGTCACAATTACCCTTGTCGTTCCTCGTCAACCAACAAAGCGTCTACTGCTCTACCGATGACTAGTGTAGCTGGCGAGACAATGTTTTCACGCTCAACTATCTCACCCAAGTCCCCAACCGTTGTGCGTATAATTTTCTCGTTTGGACGATGTCCATTTTCCACAAACATTGCTGGTAGATCGCTTGGATAGGCTCTATTCAACAATAGCTCACTCAGATTTTTTGCCCTCCCAACCGCCATCAGAACAACGGTTGTACGCATAGGATTATACTCTGGAATTTCCGGCATTCTTCCTTTTGTACCCTGTCCGGTCGTAATAAGAACTTGATCCGATATCCCTCGGTGAGTCACTGGTATGTGAGCGGCCAATGGAGCTGATAGTGAACTGCTTATACCGGGGACAACCTCGACATCCCATCCACGCTTCTTAAAGAATAACACTTCTTCTCCACCACGTCCGAATAGAAACGGATCCCCCACTTTAAGCCTGATTACTAATTTGCCTGCTTCTAATGCTTCCAGAGCCCAGTTGAGGAGTTCATCCTGCGATACGTCTGACGAGCGTGTTTTTTCGCTTCCCGACTTAGCATTTGCGAAACGAACCTCACCCTTTGCATGTTCTAATATAGCTGCGGGAACCAGGCGATCAGATAAGACAAGATCAGCTTGGGAGAGTAACGTCATCGCCTTGATAGTGAGGAGTGAAGGGTCACCAGGTCCTGCGCCTACCAAAATAATGCGTGATCTCGCTCGTTTCTCTTTGTCTTCTTCGATATCTTCTTTTGACTTGCTGACTTTTGCAATTGAATTAAAACTGGGCACTTCATCTTTGCCATAAAACGATAGCAATAAATCCGTCATCTTATCATCCAAGTTTGCCAACTCATCAAGAGACCATTCTTTACAGACACGGATCATCCATCCCATTCTTTTCTTTGATGACTCGTAATCTGAGTCAATATCTCGCAATTTTTGACGCAAGTTGCCAACCTTAGATATGGCCATTCCTATATTTTTTGGCAATGCGTCCGCTACATGTTGGCGAATCATGGTAGCCAATTTCGGCGCTTGTCCATTTGATGAGATACCAATCTGTAGTGGACCTTCTCGATGCTCTGCCATAAAGTAAAAGTCACACAGGGATGGTATGTCTGCCACGTTAACGGGCATCTTTCTTGCCTTACACATGTAATATATCTCTCGCGACCTCACATGATCGTCGATAGCAGTCAGCACCATGTCAACATTCTCCAGGTCACATTCCTCGAAATTTCTGTTTATCCAATTGTGAACTTGGTTTTGGTTGATGCGATATCTGACTTCGTTGTTAAGGCCATCATCCGGACAGACTACTGTAACATGCGCATCAGCCTCGAGAGCCTTAACAATACGTCCTGCAGCAACGTTACCCCCTCCGACTATAAGAACGCGTTTGTTTTCAATTCTCCATGCTAACAACAAAGAACCGCCTTTTCTGATTTGTGCATAATTTTCGCTAGACATCTTTGATCACTATGTGCTGTGATTCAAAGTTTGATAATCTTTACACATGATTTGTAGATTATTTCCAAAATAGTTAATAAAATTCGTTTTGCGTAGAAGTGTTATGTACCGGTATGTCTCGAAGATAATAATAATACATTCAATTAAACGCGTTCTTAGGAACGAGGTTTTCTGTGTATCAGAAACGATTGGTTTTGCCAATTAAACCGTTTATTATTATTAATATTAAGACTAATACATTAATATAATTACATCACAAATACTTTTGCAGACTAGCTTAAGCTTAGTCTTAAGGAATCGACTAGGGTGTAACTCGGGAGTCAGCTGATCAATCATACACTATTGACTTTCAGCGTAGAGGCATTTTATGACAAACCATCCAGTAACTTCGTAAAGCATATCGCGATAATATGATTACTAGCAGATTTTCTAAAAAAAAAAAGCCTCTACCTTTCTACGTTGAGCTGAAAGGTTTTAAAAACAGGTGGTTTTATTGTCGAGTATGCACCATATTTAGTTGTTGAAGAATTAATAGTATGAAGAATAGCACATAACACGTATCTGTTGACTGCTGATAATGACTTTACTGTTCTGTTATGATAGCAATGAGACAGTCCACGTGTTGAGGACAAGTAGCATTTTCCATGAACGTTCTGGACAGTTTGCGTGGGATTAATCGTTTAGGCCTTTGTATTAATATTAAGAAGTCTGGTACCACTGAGTTTAACTGTAATAAATTTCCTTTACTATTACTAGGAGCAAGGAACTTGTCACACATCACCTTTAATTTCAAATAAAATAGATATAGGACCGCATCTTTAAATGTGCTGGTTCTTTCGCGGTCTGGATTACGCTTCCAAAAGAACATCTTTGGTTCGGTGGTTTCGAACATGATTTTCGAGATGCTTACTGTATGTCCGCTCTTAAACGGTTTATTATTATGCCATATCCAATATAACTGTAACTATCTACCATGCATAGGTTGTTTTATCGGGATTCAGTAATCAAAAGTTTCCTGTTAGCCAGTCGGAACGTAAGTTGTGACAATACATTCTTTAATTACCAAGTTACAAAAATGGCAACTAACTTCTGCGATTAAACGTTAAATAAGCATACTCATCCAACTTGCATTGCAACGCTGGCGCAAATCATTAACAATACCAGAACTTCAGCCCAAAAAATACTACGAAGAAATAGATATCGTTGGTCTATAATACAGCTTTGTAGAGTATTTAAGTCCTCGACAGACGCTGCCATAGGCCGCTATTAGGCAGAAAGCGCGACTAACTCTCGACAATCATGGTCGTGATTGGTGTGTAGCCGATCTCTAAGTCACCAACAGTCCAAAGAATATTCATTCAGTCAAACATTAAAGGTTTGCTAGCAAGAAACGCAGCAACTATATCTTAACTATACAAGCTCCGCCCTTTTCTTATTGCCATGCATTTCTATTTCTTCATCTTGGTACGCGGGTTGGCTGCTCAAAACAGTTTGCTAAGACCTTCCAAGAATGCCTTCAATGACCGTCGTTGTCTATATGTCAGAAATTTTTATGTATTGCACTACATGAATGCTTGCTCGGTAATAAAACAGGTTTGGGAAGAAGAGTCTACTAGTATATTACAAACCAAATTGGCACCCTAGAGTGGGACAGTATTAAAATGATAGCATATAATAATAATATTGGATAAATCCCCTTTTTCAATGAGTGATTGAATAGTTCTGTATCAAGATTCAAGATTGTTCAGTTTAGGGGTTCAACGTTTAGACTTTGCCAGTAACAAAAGGATGCATCAGCGCTTCTCGCACCGTTAATCGCTTCTCTGGATTCAAATTTAAACATTTATCCAGTAAATCGACAAACGCTGTAAGAAGGCGAATTTCTTCATCAGTCATATGAGATGTCCGAGATAAAAGCCGTGTTTTCAAGTCACGAACAGGTTTCGTTATCATCATGACTTTTACAACTTCCTATCATAAAATGAAAAAATGTCAATGACGCACACAAACCAGTACTCACCGATAATAATTATATTGCTTACTTTGTTACTTATCCGATCAGTCTCATAGCACAGGAAGTTCAAATCTTGATCAAAGTGCTGATCAACAAATAGGCCCTTGCGAAGCATCTTGTTTGAAAACTTTCCCTTGAGCTCCATCATCAATTTTAACATTTGGTTATTGCTTCTACCGGGAAACAAAATTTTGCCGGTATACAATTCGTATAAGGTACAGCCCACAGACCACATGTCGAGTGCGTAGTCATAAGGAATTCCGAGGACTTACAAATTTTACAAGATTAAAATTGTGCCGATCAAAGAATACAAGTTTGTTACCCATACTTACTAATTTCTGGTGCCCGATAGAACCTGCTAACCAAATATGGTGTGATATCGTTTTCCGATGCATCAGAAGCAGAGCCAAGATCGCACATCTTCAATATATTCTTGGATTCGCTCACCTGCAGAATAACGTCAGCCGTGAGAAACACTCAAAGATTAATCAGACCTCACATTGCAATCTTACCAATATGTTGTCAGGTTTAATGTCAGCATGAAGTATATTACATTTTTTCAAGAGAGACGATGATAGGAAGAGTTGCTGAGCATAGATGCGGACAGCTTTGATATTGATACCAACATCCTTACCGAACTTTTTTAATACCTCTCTTAAGTTCATGCTAGAGAAGAAATCGATGTCAACAAGGGCCAAACTTTCACAGCAACTTTCGATACTAAATAACAAAAGCTACCTTAGAGACTCAAAAACCAAACAAAGATGTCCCTTATGTTCAAAATGTCGATAAAGCCGTATTACATGCTTCTTATTCTCAGGATCCGCTGCCATGAGCTTTTTAAGTATATTCAATTCCTTCATGCCAGCTCGATACCTACAAAAATATATCTCATATTTTAGTTCAATATCTTTCTCCAAGTGTTAAAGCTATTGAAACGTACATAGTATCATTGTTACGAATGATTTTAATTGCCACATCAATGCATTCTTTAGTGTCCTTAGCTTTCACAACAGAACTAAAGACACCCTTTCCAAGATTGCTGTGCACATGATATCGATTATCAAGCATTTCGCCGAGAAGAACCCCTGTATAAGAAAATTTTAGAGATAGAACTCCTAAAAAACAAGGCTAGAAAACCGACTTACGATAATATCCCTCCGCATCGTCATAGTTATCCACCAGCCCTGTATTATTATCATGTACAACTACGGGAACTGTCTTGAATGCCTAATAATTTATCACATTATTAAATGTTCTCACTGAGCATAAATCAAATTGTAATTACCGACCTGCGCTAGTTGAGTATTGTTTTCCTTACTCTCTGGTGAATGGGCAAACATGTCTTCATCAGCAAACATGTCCAATTCTTCACCGTTTTGTACTTTTTCGGTATTAGATTCTTGATTCCCATTTCGTTCTGTTAATGTCTCCTTGTAATCAGCTGCAAACATATCTGAATCATCATCTCCCTGTTGAACTACTGCCTCTTGCAAATCCTTGGCCTTTAACAATTCCAAGTCCTTCGCGGACTTGTGATGAAGTTGTCGTTCGTCATCGGCAATACGGTCTTTTGTAGGATCATAATCCGCAGCGGAAAAGCCATGTGTTTCTTCGCCGACGGATTCATCTTCAGTTATGCTTTCAACTTTTGTGAGAGAAAAGGACGGCGGTGAGGTAGCCGTCGGTGTCACGGATGGCGTTTCCGTTGCCTGTTGTTCTATAAACAGAAGATATATACAAATATAAATTAAACGCGTGGGTTATGTAAAAAGTTCGGACCACAATAGGCTTATCCTACCAGATATCGCTTGTTTAGCCACGATATTTCCTGGTATAGAATCTGAGAGCTGCTTCTGTTGAAGACTAGTTTCTGTGGAAACAATATCTTTATTTTTATACTTCTCTAAAATTTCATTTCTACGCCTCCGTCTCTCCTCTATTAACTTCTCTTCATCAACTTCCGGCTCGAGTTCAATATCTATCGTCTCATCATGGTTATGATCAGTTCGTATCTCTTTATTCTCCTGAACGTTCGTCGGTTCACCATAAGCGTACCGATATTCCCGATCGTAATCATATCGACCGCGATATTCTTTCCTTCGTCGGCTTATGCTATGACGGCGTTCGCTATGACGGGAAGAGGAACGATGGCGGGAAGAGGAATGATGACGAGAAGATGAGTGGTGATGACTTTCATCGTCAGAGGAAAACTCTGCCCTACTGCGTTTAGGTTTACGGAGAGAGGCATCAGAATGTTCATTACGATTTGTGGATATATCGCTACGAGTTTCGTCGTCATCGACGACCATTGGCTCGGTCGAGCTCAAATTGTTACCTAAACCGTCCTTCCGACCTATATCGCCTTCTTTATTGTGATTCTTTCGCTCTGATTCGTGCCGTCTATGCCCGTGTCGATTACGCTCGTTATCATGGTGGCGACGATGACTACGGGAATGCCTACTAGAGTGGCGATGACGCCGTTCTTCTCGATGTTTCCGTTCCCGTCCAGAACTTTCCCGATTCTTTACTTCTTTCAAGTCACCTTCTAAGCCATGTTCATTGCTCTTGATGGAATCCTCATTGTCTTGACTTTGCGGTGATGGCTGGTTGGGGTAAGGCAGTGCCGCTACTCCATTTGTTACTGCTTCTAAGTTTTGTTTCTCTTCTTCACTGTAAGTTGTTGAGTTTATCTCGTCTATTATTTCGCCTTCTTCCAGAGGGTCAGAGTTTGTTAACTTGGGTGTTAGCGTTTGTGCTTCCATTTCAAAAAGAATAACGCATTAGTATGTGCCAATCGTATTATATGGTTTTTTTTTCTTTGAAAGCGCGATGACAATTAGTTCTACGTAAAGAGTAGGAACCGAAAAAGGCGGACATGCACGGGAATGCGCCAAATCAACAACAAATCAGCCGACTTCCCGTGACGAATGTTAACAAAATTGTAACGTCAAAAAAAAAACGGGGCAAATTTGAGAGTAGCCTATTAATAACGCTACGCATACATTAAAACGGGAGTCTAGACTTGACATGGCGATAGTTTAACTCGTTCTTGGTGCAATTTCTTCGACACAGAAAGTAGATGTTTGGTCTTTACTAAGCATACGATGGATATTTTCGCAAGGCCGCGGATGCAGTCTCTTCTGCTATTGAAATTTATTAAACGTCAAACTGCGCGTAACTCGTGCTTTATATCCACAAGATATCATTTATTAATATCTGTTGTGTTTGCCATTTCAACGAATATATAGAATTCGAACTTCGAGCAAGACATCATCTATACAGTATACTCGGGACTTGAGCTTTTATTTTAGCATGACGTTGTCGGCCCACAAACGAAGACGTATAAGGCAAGGACTATTTGAACTACCCCCCATGTAATAACAAATAATTAAGTTTAACTTCTTGATATATGAATATTAATTGGTACTGGGCGGTTGAAGATGTTGCTGGTGGAGAAAAGCTTCACCAATTGGATGACGTGAAGATGATTCTTCGTGGATTTATTCTCCACTAGTATTTTTTTTAGGCATAACTTATTTTTCCGTTCGCCCATTAATTCAAGTATGTTCTGTTTTCGTATTCCCAATTAATATCCTCTCGAATTTTCATGGAAGCAGAGTTTTATAGCAAATTTACTACTAAATTGTTGTACTGCGATTCCGGATTTTTTTTTTCGTTGAACGGAGCTTTATGAGGCAATGTTAATGTTCAATATAACGGAATTATAACAGAGTCCCGCTATAAGTTTATAGTAGTCCGCACCAAAGAGTGAACTGTTCGACATCAATATTAGTAGCACCGTCAGCGTAATAAAGATCACGTTGTATGTTAATATTAATAACATTTGACAATGTTATGAGGAGAGGGCAAGGGTTCGTTAACAAAGAAAAGAAAGTTTGCAAACGTGCCTCTAATGCAAACGTTCAACAGAAAGCTCTAGTAAAACAATATTAATATGGTATTTCACCCCGGCAAGTTTTAGACATTCTTAAGAACAGAGATCAATAATTATCCATTGAAGCGAAACATCAGTAGCCAAATCTAAAAGAATACGTGGAGAAAAGATATGAAATTTTGTGTAGATAAGATATTGTCTCCCGACGAACATACATCTTTTGAATGTTACTTGCACTTTGGTAGGTGATCTTGTTATTCTGAGCCGGGTTGTAAAAAAAGTGGGGGTTTGAGAGTTGTTTGACAGAACTGTATCTTATCTTTTTCACGAAGTATATCGCCAATAGTACTGCTTCCGCAAGCAAAGATTTCCGCAATTCGATTATGAGAACATTGGCAAATTTCGGAAAGAACGTTTTTTACGTGTCATGGTCGATAAAAGAAGTAAAGTTGGAAGAACACATAAAGAAGGTTACAGTCAAGACTGGATATAACGATACTCCCGTTAGGTCACATTTTCATCGTTATAGCGAGTTATCGTTAATACC